TCCCACCTGGATCCGGGGGTCCAGCTCTTCCTCCTCCTCTTCCTCCTCCTCCTCCTCCTCCTCCTCCTTTGGGGGATTCCCGGGATTTTCTGAATCCCCCATTTTGGGATCCCCCAAAATTCCAGGGGTCCATGCAAGGCTGGGGAGGGGCCTCAATTCATTTTTTATTTTTTTATTTTTTAATTTTAATTGATTTTTTTTTTTTTTTAATTAGGAATTAATTTTTGGGGGGTGATGGGGAGAGCTGGAAAAGAAAAACAAAAATAAAGTTAATTTTTTGGGGGTTTTTAAAGGGAATTTTGGGGTTTTTTTAAGTGAATTTTGGGCCTTTATAAGCGAATTTTGGGGTTTTTTAAAGTGAATTTTGAGGTTTTTTTAAAGTGAATTTTGGGGTTTTTTAAGCGAATTTTGGGGGTTTTTTAAGTGAATTTTGGGGTTTTTTAAAGTGAATTTTGAGGTTTTTTAAAGTGAATTTTGGGGTTTTTTTAAAGTGAATTTCGAGGTTTTTTTAAAGCGAATTTTGGGTTTTTTTAAAGTAAATTTTGAGGTTTTTTTAAAGCAAATTTTGCTTTTTTTTAAAGTGAATTTTGGGGTTTTTTTAAGTAAATTTTGGGGTTTTTTAAAGTGAATTTTGAGGGATTTTTAAAGCGAATTTTGGGGCTTTTTAATCGAATTTTGGGGTTTTTTTTAAAGTGAATTTCGAGGTTTTTTTAATCGAATTTTGGGGTTTTTTTTAAAGCGAATTTTGGAGTTTTTTTAAGCGAATTTTGAGGTTTTTTTAAAGCGAATTTTGGGGTTTTTTTAAAGCGAATTTTGGGGCTTTTTAAGCGAATTTTGGGGTTTTTTTAAAGGGAATTTTGGTTTTTTTTTAAAGTAAATTTTGGGGTTTTTTTAAAGTGAATTTTGGTTTTTTTAAAGTGAATTTTGAGATTTTTTAAAGCGAATTTTGGGGTTTTTTTAAAGGGAATTTTGAGGTTTTTTAAAGCAAATTTTGTTTTTTTTTTAAGTGAATTTTGAGATTTTTTAAAGTAAATTTTGGGTTTTTTTAAAGCGAATTTGAGGTTTTTTCAAGCGAATTTCGGGGTTTTTTTAAAGCGAATTTTGGGGGTTTTTAAGCGAATTTTGGGGTTTTTTTAAAGGGAATCTTGGGGGTTTTTTAAAGTAAATTTTGGGGTTTTTTAAGTGAATTTTGGGGTTTTTTAAAGTGAAATTTGAGGTTTTTTTAAAGCAAATTTTGGGTTTTTTTTAAAGTGAATTTTGGGGTTTTTTAAAGGGAATTTTGGGGTTTTTTTAAAGTGAATTTTGGGGTTTTTTTAAGTGAATTTTGGGGTTTTTTAAAGTGAATTTCGAGGTTTTTTTAAAGTGAATTTTGGGGTTTTTTTAAGCGAATTTTGAGGTTTTTTAAAAGCAAATTTAGCTTCTTTTTAAGTGAATTTTGAGGTTTTTTCAAGCGAATTTTGGGGTTTTTTTAAAGAAAATTTCGCTTTTTCTTAAAGTGAATTTTGGGATTTTTTTAAAGCAAATTTTGGGTTTTTTTAAAGTAATTTTGAGATTTTTTAAAGTAAATTTTGGGTTTTTTTAAAGTGAATTTTGAGGTTTTTTAAAGCGAATTTTGGGGTTTTTTAAAGCAAATTTTGGGGTTTTTTTAAAGTGAATTTTGGGGTTTTTTAAAGGGAATTTTGGGGTTTTTTTAAAGGGAATTTTGGGGTTTTTTTAAAGCAAATTTTGGGTTTTTTTAAAGTGAATTTTGAGATTTTTAAAAGTAAATTTTGGGTTTTTTAAAGTGAATTTTGAGGTTTTTTAAAGTGAATTTTGGGTTTTTTTTAACGCAAATTTTGCTTTTTTGGGTTTTTTTAAAGCGAATTTTGAGGGTATTTTAAGCGAATTTCGAGGTTTTTTTAAAGTAAATTTTGTTTTTTGGGTTATTAAAATCAAACTTTGAGGGTTTTTTAAAGCAAATTTTGATTTTTTGTTTTGTTTTGGTTTTTTTTAAAGTGAATTTTGAGGTTTTTTAAAGCAAATTTTGGGGTTTTTTTAAAGAATTTCGAGGGTTTTTTTAAGCAAATTTTGGGGTTTTTTAAGCGAATTTTGAGGGTTTTTTAAAGCAAATTTTGGTTTTTTTTAAAGCGAATTTTGAGGTTTTTAGAAAAATTCTGAGTTCGGATAAAATTTGGAATTTCCAGGAAAAAAAAAAAATTCCTGAAAATTTCAATTTAATTTTTTTTTTTTAGGGG